CAGCACCATCGAAACGCTTAGCAAGCAGGGTATACGAAGTGTCCAGTCTGTGTATCCGTTAGTCTGTGGTACTACTACTAGTAACACTAACAGGAGTCGTCATTATTAATATTAGTAACTTACTAGTACCGGTAACACAGTTTGTCATTATTAGCTCCTGGTAGTAACTAGTACTACTAGTAGTACTAGTAGTAGTCCTGGTATTTAGTAGTACTAGTAGCAGGCCCGTAGCCAGTTGTCTTCGCTATTCGTAATAAATCCAGTTTACAGTTAGTTTCATTGTCACTCTTATCTGCTATTGTAATATCTCTGCATAGTTACACTCATAAAACTAAAGATTTCAACATGGTGGCAGAAGTGCCTAAACTGTAAACAGTGGGAAGCTTGAACTGTAAGTGCATGTTCCGTAAGAATTCACGTGAAATTCCGGAGTGCTCCGACTATTATATCGACTATCCACCTATATATTATATGATATCTAACACGATCCCCCAATGCGAGCATCGAATTATATCCACACCTACGAATACTTCTATTACTACAAGTACATGTTACAATAATTACTAGTAAGTACTACTACTACTAATCCCCCCCCCACCCCACCAAGCAAAAAAAAAAGATTTGAAAATTTTGCAAGAATTTCACCTCAGGTCGCTCCATTTTAGTGTAATAATTATTGCAAAATCTCCATCGTGCGGGAGGATGAACAGTGAACACCCCCCTCCCACACCCTCCCCCCGCTCGGTCGCTTGGCTCCCTCGCCTGGTCGCTTCGCGCCCGAGCAGGGGCGTGTTTTGGGGGGGTCCAGGGAGTCCGGACCCCCCCTTGCTCGCGCAGAAAACGCATCTGAGGGGGTCTAATTTTAAAAAATTTCTGGGGGAGGGCCCCCCAGACCCCCCCTTCGCGTGCTCGCAACTTTGGGTTACGGTTAGACCCCCCCCTGGTACAAATCCTGTACACGCCCCTGCCGAGCAAATTTCCAACATTGAAAAACGAACCCCCCCCCAATAGAAAGGTTGTATTGTTCCTATATATCGGATCCTCTAAGCTCAGCCAGTCAACGCTACGCATCAGCGCTATATATTCTTACAATGTGAACAAAAAACTCCGTTTTTACAGCAAAGAAAGCGCGCCTAGTAGCGAACAAAGAATTGGCAGCATTTCTAGCCAGTCTCTACCTAACTGGGTAGTGCGATCCCTCGTGCAATGGGCAGAACTGCTCAATTCAGCGAAAAGCCGGCTTTAACCTAACCCTAGGCAAGGACCTCAGTAACGGCGTTGGGAAGAGGGCAGCGAAATTGCAAAAGTGCGCCGCTACGCGGCGTTTGAGCGCTTCGCGCGGATATCCGGCTGCAGATCGTCTAGTGCCTACCTACGTCATTACACGGGAACACCACATTACTACAAAAGGAAAACAATGGCAGAAACAAAAATCATTCATGTTTTTTTATATTTAGGATTATTTTTAAATATATTATTAAATCGATATAATAGAGCGATGGACGGCAGGAGGCCATCTCCAAACGGCCCCTAAACTTTTTTGGGGGTGGCACGCCTCATGGCTAAGACGTAGTGGCTCCTACAAGAAACACCAAGAAATGCTGTCAATCAGCGATGACGCGCTCGCTCATTGGCCGCTACGCGATGACGTGCGCTACTACCGAGTATAGCGTTATGTCTATCACAGAGCTTTTAACGAAGTGTCGTACCGCGCTCCACGTGGGGGGGCGCGGTCTAGATGCTATCTCCAAAAGCGGCGCCGCCGTGGCGGCGCCTGGCTGCGTACATGCCACGTTTCGACCAACCTGACCCCGCGCTGTCCGTGGCGATGGCACGTCGTGCGAGCACCTGCGCTGGCGTGGCCGGCGTGGCTGTCGTGGCAAACCAGCAGCAGCACCAAATACTGGTCACTGCTAGCTGCTGCAGCGCGGCTCTGGAGCAGCAAAGCAGCAGCAGCAGGAAATGCCCTCCACCCAAGACCGCCGTAGTCAAGCCGGTGTACGTCTGACGAAAACTGCGCGATGTTACGCTGCCCGCTATACGGATTCGCGCGCCCGCCCTCCTTCGACGCGTGAATTCGTATAGCGGGCAGCGCGAGATGCTACATACAACACCCCGCGGTCGCGTGCGCCCAGTCCCGCAGAAGTGCGCGGCTTAACCGCTCTCGGCGGTCGGGGAATAACGCATCTTTTGCGCAACGCCATTTGTACCCGGTCTCTCTGGATACAACATGAACAGGAAGACATGGATATGCAATTAACGTGACTACATGGTGTAGTAGCGTATATTCTCGTGGTCGTACTGTACTGACACCGGGTGGCAGAGAACACAAACACCAGACACATCACTGAACGTGACACCCTCTCTCTGTTTCTCTCTCTGTACCCCTCTCTCTTTTTCTGTTTGTACCCTTCTCCTTTCTCTCTTTCTCTCTCCGTACCCCTCTCTCTTTCTCTTTCTATCTCTGTACCCCTCTCTCTTTCTCTCTCCGTACCCCTCTATCTCTCTCTTTCTGTACGTTTCTCCCCTCTCTCTTTCTCTCTGTATGTATCCCTCTCTCCTGAAAACGCACTCCGCGAAAACTGGGCGCAATCCAACCGACATTTCATACCTTAGACAGGGGTTGCAGCAGGTGAAAGGTGAGCGTGCAGCAGATGAAAGGTAAGGGCGCAGCAGGTGAAAGGTGAGCGTGCAGCAGATGAAAGGTGAGCGTGCAGCAGGTGAAAGGTGAGCGTGCAGCAGGTGAAAGGTGAGGGTGCAGCAGGTGAAAGGTGAGCGTGCAGCAGGTGAAAGGTGAGCGTGCAGCAGGTGAAAGGTGAGGGTGCATCAGGTGAAAGGTGATGGTGCAGCAGGTGAAAGGTGAGGGTGCAGCAGATGAAAGGTGAGGGTGCAGCAGGTGAAAGGTGATGGTGCAGCAGGTGAAAGGTGAGCGTGCAGCAGGTGAAAGGTGAGGGTACAGCAGGTGAAAGGTGAGCGTGCAGCAGGTGAAAGATGAGTGCACAATTGTCTACTCGATTCCAAATAGAGGGCATTATGAGAGCTCTAACATGATGATGTCCGCCGTATATAGCATGCTCATTATCGTTCTCATATTCGCGTGGTGAAACAGATGTGCGAGAACAGACGAAGAGCATCTCTCGGCAACTCCGGAACGGCATTGGTGCCAGATGTAGAGATCGGTTTGATGATGTGTATCACTTGTGACGATTAATCGTCTAACGAATACTTGCTCGCTCCATCGATCAATGAAAATGATCCGATTGAAAACACCGCTAACACCTTCTTCTGCCACAAACGTAGACTGGCAGCTGCTTCCCCCACCCTGCGCTGTCATCTTTCTTTGTGACCTTGACCCCCTGACCCGTGACCTTTGACCTCACAGGCTCGGGGTCGTCTCGCGGCCTCGTCTACGGCAATGCGCTGGACTGCCTCGTGAAGACGATTCGCAGCGAGGGCATCGTTGGCCTCTACAAGGGCTTCTTCCCCAACTGGATGCGCATCGGGCCGCACACCATCATCACGTTCTTCATCTTTGAGCAGCTGCGCAGTGCGATCGGCATGCAGCCCGTGTGATCCATGCTGCCACGAGCCGTTGTCGCCGCGCCGTGTGATCGGCATGCAGCCCGTGTGATCCATGCTGCCACGAGCCGTCACCGTCACGCCGTGCGATCGGCATGCAGCCCGTGTGATCCATGCTGCCACGAGCCGTCACCGTCACGCCGTGCGATCGGCATGCAGCCCGTGTGATACGTGCTGCCACGAGCCGTCACCGTCACGCCGTGCGATCGGCATGCGGCCCGGATAGGACGGATAGGAGCAGTCATCATCTCATCATAATCAACAAATAGGGGTTAGCGAATTGAAAGTGGAGGTGCAGCTCAGCAGCCAGTTAGTAGTAGGTGGTCGGTGAGAGGTCTGAGGGATGGAAGGTGGGGGAGGGGACAGTCATGATCGTAAACAAATAGCCATTAGAGGGCGGATGACATTGTCAAGGGCATAGGCTTAGGTAAAATTGAGTTAGAGGGCAGTGAGGTATGTATGGTCAGGATCATAGACGAAGCAGGGAAGAGGGGTTAGAGGGTGTGGTCAAGGTCATAGAGGCTAGAGCGCCCGGGTGTATGGTCAAAGTTATGTATGAATACGGGTTAGAACGAGGGGAAGTAGTAATGGTTATAGATGAAATGGGGAAGATAGATTCTAACGAGGGTGAAGGGGTGGTTGCAGGGGGAGCATTCATTCGTTCCCGTCGGTAGCAATAGCTTACAAGTTGTAAACTGTGAATATATGTATGTACTCGCCTCATTCCAAACACTATGCACAATAACTCGAGTACTGCCAATGCTTGTCTTTAAATGCTATATGACTTCCAGATGGGATTAAGTTGTTATTAGATTAGATGGGGTAATTGACCTGTCTAACTATCTAGCAGTTTAACAAAAAAAGACTTGTCGAATGAAGCCAGTGTTGTGTTGTCAGCTCACATAATATGAATAGTTCGGACTTTTTTGAGTCTGACATGACATAACTTTTGTTCAACACTGCTTCAACAGGCTTGACATTTTAGACTTGTGATGTCATACATAGTATTATAGTATATGCATACTTTTCACACAGTATATAACAGATGAGGGGAGTGACAGCTGTTGTGGGGGTGGGGACGGGTAGAGTATACCATCGTACCGATGCTGGGGGTATAACGTGGTGTTGGTACAGAGATTCCCCGACTTACGAACATTCGAGTTACGCACTTTCGATGATACCAACAATTTGCCCTGAAGTCCATTAGTGTATAATATTGGTGAATAAAAAGACACAATCGCCCCCCCCCCTTGATTTTGACTTTCGCCAACTTCTGTGTTCACGTATGTTTACACTATGTACACTTCTAGGTTACTCGATGTTCACACATACATATACTACACTACTGTACAATACTGTATACGTACGTACATATGTTCAACTTACGAACGACCGCTCGGAACCGAACCTGTTCGTAAGTCGGGGAGTCTCTGTATATATATCGTAACAACCATGGGTATTGTGTATACGGCACCCGGCAGGGATTCATTGCCGCTGCACACTGAAATCGGCAGCAAGTCATTGATCGTCCATCCCACCTTACAGGGCCATCTCATAGAGTGAGCCAACGTCGTCGTGTTCCGAGCAGTCTAACCTCGTACAACACAGTGCATTAATAAAGGGGAAAGGGATTTTGGGGTCAGCCTAACACGTCCATGTAATTTGCTTAGTTTATATACATAATATACATTATAGGGTAGCAGGACAAATACCCCCATGCCATTACCCCTGGGGGTAAATGTCCGGGGGGCAATTGTCCGGAGGGTAAATGTCCCGGGGTGTGAATAGCATGGGGGGGTAATTGTCCTAGATGGACTTGCGGCCCCGGTTTTTGCGCGCAGCGCACAGCTCGAGGCGAAGCCGCGCCCCAACAGCGAATACGCCGCCCCCTTTTTGTCCACTTAGACAGATACCTTAGACAGGGGTCTGAAAACGAACTCCGCGAAAACTGGGCGCAATCCAACCGACATTTCGCGATGGACGGCAGGAGGCCATCTCCAAACGGCCCCTAAACTTTTTTGGGGGTGGCGCGCCTCATGGCTAAGACGTAGTCACTCCTACAAGAAACCTCAAGAAATGCTGTCAATCAGCGATGACGCGCTCGCTCATTGGCCGCTACGCGATGACGTGCGCTACTGCCGAGTATAGCGTTATGTCTATCACAGAGCTTTTAACGAAGTGTCGTACGGCGCTCCACGTGGGGGGCGCGGTCTAGATGCTATCTCCAAAAGCGGCGGCGCCTGGCTGCGTACGTGCCACGTTTCGACCAACCTGACCCCGCGCTGCCTGTGGCGACGGCACGTCGTGCGAGCACCTGCGCTGGCGTGGCCGGCGTGGCTGGTGTGGCAAACCAGCAGCAGCACCAAATACTGCGAGCACGTGGTGGCGTAACGTTAATGATTACCGCTCCTGCTCGTAACGGCCGCTAGGGCCTACTCACCAGAGCGTTAACCTCTTACTATATGAAAGTTGGTGGCTGCTGCCAAAATCAGAACGGGCCAATCAGCGAGCAGTCCTTTGCTTCACGTCATTTCCGTCAACATTTCAACTGCAATAACTATATTTATAATAGTTTATAATAGTTTATATTAGTTTTATAATAGTTATAATAATATAATTTATAACTGTAAAAAGTGCATGCTTCTGATAAAGCCATTAACTAGATTACCACCATAATAAATATATGCCTGGGGCGGATTTGCGGCCTGCTTTAGACTGGTACCCGGTCGACAGTTCCACACGCTACACTAACTTCGTCAGTGTAGCGAAGGATACTTGCCGGAGTGAAGGTGACGAACGGGTACCAGTCTAGGCCTGCTTAGCCTCTTTCTGCGTTTATTCGATAACGAGGTTTGCGAACTGTTTAGGCTGCATTCGCTTACAGGCGTCAGTGTAGCGAACGCAGTCAAGCGTAACATGACGACTGGTATTATACAGGTTAGTGGTGGCGTGGCCGTGCCAGTTTTTACACGTAGCTAATCGTAGATACTGGCAAAGCAGCAGCAGCAAGAAATACTGCCCCATGCAGCAGCAGCAAGAATTACTCGCCCCTGCCGCGCAGCGCGCCCCTGGAGCAACAAAGCAGCAGCAGCAGCAGCAGCAAATGCCCCCACCCAAGGACGCCGTAGCCGAGCCGGTGTAGGTGTGACGAAAACTGCGCGATGTTACGCTCCCGCTATACAGATTAGCGCGCCCGCCATCCTTCGGCGCGCGAATTCGTATAGCGGGCAGCGCGAGATGCTACATACAACACCCCGCGGTCGCGTGCGCCCAGTCCCGCGGAAGTGCGCGGCTTAACCGCTCTCGGCGGGCGGGGAACAACGCATCTTTTGCGGAATGCCATCTTGTACCCGGTCTCTCTGGAACCACATTATAGATATACTCTTTATATGGTCGTATACTCCTGGTTGTATATCGATTTTCTGCTAATCTAACAAATTAATTGACCAAATTTATCAAGACGAGTATTTACGTTTAGTTCTCTCTCACCTGCTTGTTTACAAATATTGTTTTTAAGATTTATTGTTTCTGAGAAGGAAATTTTTGAGGAAAACCGTGACGTGCATAAATTTATATATCACGTGCGTGAGTAGAACAGCGATCATGTGATTACGTGGTTATGTAGATTAGACTACATAAGTGTATGATGTTATCAGGAGTAAGTAATCAACTGATAAATATTTTCTAGAATCATTTGATAACAGCACACTCTAAATAAAAAATAAAGGAAATATATTTATATATTATATATATTTACATACGAAAATAGTACGATTGATTACTGATACATTCCAATATCACCTACATTAGGCATATCATTTCTAGAGTAAAAGTTTTGATGCTTCTAATTTTCTACACTTACAGTTATAGTAAGTTAGTAAGTTGTAGTTACTGTTAGGTTATCACGTTGTTCAAATAAAATTATCTTAATATATATTTGAGTTCGTATGTATGTATCTATGTATCTTCCCTATAGGCGGCCAAACCGCCCAAGCGATCTGGATGCAATTTTCACAGGGCCATCTCTTATAACCGGGGAGTGTTCGTAGCTGAAAAAAACCTCCAAACGTCAAACTCACCGGAAAAATCGTGAAAAACCCCTCAATTTCGTCAATCTCACACATAGTCAGCACTGACTGTACAGTGCTGCCACAGAGAGAGAAAATCGATTCCCTCATCTCATCCGGCTGCTGGTATATTGTGAAACCGAAACCGGTACTAAAACAGAGCACAACCAGGATACCTTTATTTATGTGTCAGTGTGCGCGCAATGGCGGTGGCGTGTGTTTACAGTTGAAACGCTTCAAGTGCCTGTGGTTACGACTGCATTGTTTTATCAAGAGGCTTTGAAATGACAAGTGCAACCCATTCGTACATGCTGTTACAATAACTTTTTCTTATTTACACCATATTACTATTATGTTCCAGGGGTTCTACGTTGGGTTGTGCTGTCATATAAATGTCATACGTAACCGTTTTTTACCATGCTTATTATATGATTACACTGATTTGTAAATATTTATAGAGATTCACTATAGTTTAATTAGTATGAGTATTATATAGTTTGAGAGGTTACGATTGCTCAAAACATCAACGCATAAAGACGCGTACCAAGTGAGTAAACATTCTTTTGTAATTACAAATTTCCCCACTCGCTGGCCTGTCTGTATACTATATATCGACTTTTTTTATTCATGCTACGATTCAGGAATCCATTGTACCATTCGAAAGCTATGCCTTTTCTGATTCAGTAGAAAATTCCTTCATTTCAATGTGTGCCATTGGTTGCGCGCCAAGCATTCACTGTACTAGACAATATCCAATGGACACAGACCCCACTCGCTGGCCTGTCTCTATCTATACTATATACCCAATTTCGTTTATTCATCCTACGAACTGACAATGGATAGCTGTACGTGGTGAGCTCAACAGTTCGAGACGCCAGCAATCTCTACATATTTTCCCCACACAATAAACACGCAAACCATTGTTTTCAAGAGGTTTTCAAATGAAAAACTGCAACCCATTCGTACATGCTGTTATAATAACTTTTTCTCATTTGCACCATATTAGGCCTACTATTATGTTCCAGGGGTTCTAAGTTGGGTTCTGCTGTCATATAAATGTCATACGTAACAGTTTTTCCCCATGCTTATTATCTTATTACACTGATTTCTAAATATTGATATTGTGTGCAATGTTATATTGTCGATTTTTACCCAATGTTCCTATTGTGTCCAATTATTAGTAGCATGAATTAGTAGCACGATTTTACCCAGCGCAGCGGGTACCCGCAGCTAGTTACTTATAAATCTCAATTAATGTTGCATAGTATTCCGTGTAGTTTAGAACGAAGCACAACTATTGCATTTGATGACAAAATTTACGTACAATGACAGCATCACATTCAAGCGAACCTATTAGACGACGAGGGCATTTTCTTCTTTACTGTCGACCTAAAGGTCTGAGATCAGGTACGCTTGACCACAAGTGACCGGATGTTTACGTGCTCGAAAAATGCAAAACTAAGCTCTGGAGCCTTGATTAATTAATTGCTATCTACCCTTATAAGATTTTTGATAACCAACTATTCGTGAATACGTGCTTACTAGACCTGCTTTAAATGTGTAAGTTCAACCAAACATCTGTTGGATCAACAGAAATAATACTAGTTAGACTATATGTCTCTCTATATTTCTATAGTTGGAACACACTGGGCGCGCACAAACACGTGTACCACCTAATAGACCGTTACGCACGCGTACAAAGAAAAACAGAAAGACAAAACCAGACAGGTTTACGAAGAAGAGTTTTGAGCAATTTTATTATACAACAGACTTTGTAACCTAGGAGAAGCCGCGCGCACGAGAGGAGCACGTAGGGTGTCACTTCCTCTCTCTCGCAAGCGCGTACAAAGAAGCCACGAGACGCGCCGACGGACAGCAGAGCGACAGAACGTCGCACGACAGAGCGCTGCAGATGGAGGCAAACGAATACGATCACTGCACACGCAACAAACACGCGTGGACGTAAGCATGCGCTGGGTGCGGCAGCAGTAACAGAGAAGCCACTTCCTCTCCCTCCCCTTCTCCCCCCTCCTCCACTCTCTCGCCAACTACACACCCTCCCCTTCACCAGCGGGGGCCCTCTCATTACGCGGTACGATCGCGCGGGTAACCCACCTACAGTGGCTGTGGGAAGAGGCAGAGGGCGACACTGGTGGCGCGCGAAGCTATCGCCTGGAAATGGCGATCAAACGAGGCCGCGATGCGGCAGAACTTGGGGATGTTGTTCGGTTTATCGCGGTTGGCGAATGCAGGGCAGGCGATTCTCAGAGCACTGGATACAGAACTACTTCAACTGAATGGGGGGAAATGTCCATAGATAATCTCTCTGCAGAGAATGGGTAGGTCCTGTGGAGAAGGGGAAAGGTTCTGTGGAAAGAGGGATGTTTCCTTTTAGAAAGAAAAGTACAAGTTCTGCAGAGAAGGGCAAGTTTCCATGGAGGGGGGCAGCGAGGCACGTCATAACCACCCTCCCGAGCGCCCGCCCATGCGCTGTACAAACATCTAACGGCTACGACTTATTCGAGCGACGGACTACACGACGATGGTAACAGTACGAATTTACAGCGATAATAAATGGCCATCAATTAATCTTCATAGAAAAAATAACGTGCGCGCTGAGACGCCTCTTCACAGAAGAGTGGTGCCCCGCTCGAAAAACTCGGACCCTCGGCCGCCAACTAGCGCTACCTGCGAACGACGGCGCGAATTATAAACTGCAAAAATAACGCGGCCGCGCGGCGTCGGCCCTCTGTACATCAACAATCTGCAAAAAACTGTACAGCTAAGTAATTCTAACGCGTAGACGCGTGGGGGAGGGAAGCCAGCCAGCGAGGGGCTGGTGCCTCCCCCACGCGACACGACTACGACAACGAACAAGAGAAAGAGACGAGAATCACGAAATGCTCAAATTTTTTCCCCGCTTCTGTTTTGCTATAAAAAAACGAGAGTAAATTTACACATATTACTAATACTTTCTCGATAATAATGACGACTCGGCGCGCGCGCGAGCTCACACGTCCAACGATATCGTGATGTAGGTAATTACACACGCTACGCACACACGGATACTAGCACACGGAGACGACATCTAGAGAAGAGATCAGGGAGACGGCTCTAGTGACTACAGTCGCGACCTTCTAGGTGCGAAGGGTGGGGGGAATTGTACACGCGCACACCCTGCGCCGGCAACGACGCGACGTCATCTGTAGACGGGCGTGCCACTGCCACGAGTCCGCAGCACGTCGAGACAGGGCGCCGCCGTAGCTGTGCAACTCTTGCACTGCTCACTCACTGCAGATGGCAAATACATCACCACAATATCTTGGAGAACCAGCATCAACAGCGGCAGCAGAAGAAATAGTAATAACAGTTATCGCAAAAGAAGATGGAGTAATATTCAGCATCGTTGTAAGCTGACCGTTGTAGTGTTCGGATGCTGCAGAGGGCGCCACCGCAGTCTATACAAGCAGTAGTCGGCGCCACGGCAACCTTTGGTCGTGGTAGCAATTGTAGGCCAGCGTCGGGTGTGGATGCTGCAGCGGGTGGGGGGCGCCACCATTGCCCCGATGAGTAGATGGCTCCCATATTGTACACAGACTTCGAGCGCACATGCTTCAGTGGCAGGGGGCACCACTAGGGCCCTTAATAATAGTTGGTGCCAGCATTGTACGCTGGCTTCGTGCGCGTACGCTGCAGAGGCAGGGGGCGCCACCACGACGGCCTCTAGTAGTAGTAGTCGGTGCCTGTGTTGTACGCTGGCTTCGTGCGCGGGTGTCGTGGGTAGTGCTTGGCGGCGGCCGCATGATGCCCGCCCCGGCCCCCGCCAGCATGCTGCGGCTGTGCGGGCAGCGCAGGCTGGTGCTGACCCCCGCCGCTGCCGGCAAGTGACGGTGCTGACACCTGCAGGTGGAGCGATGGCGCGGGCAGCAGCGGCTGCTTCATGAGTGGCTGCGGTCGCTGGTCGATGAGCGGGAGCGGCTGCTGCGCTGCGGCGACGGCCATAGCCGGCGGACCGTTGAATAGCGGCTGTACGAAACGCGCACGAATCGCAGTTCCACCTGCAACGACACGAGACGACGACGATAGTCGTTAGACGACATGTCACAGCAATGTTCTCGTTATGGCGTTAGTCGTTAGACACGGTTAGTTGTTAGACGACACGTCACGGCAATGTTCTCGTTATGGCGTAAGTCGCTGGACACGGTAGTCGTTAGACGACACGTCACGGCAATGTTCTCGTTATCGCATTAGTCGTTAGACACGATAAGTCGTTAGACGACACGTCACGGCAATGTTCTCGTTATGGCATTAGTCGTTGCACACGTTAGTCGTTAGACGACACGTCACGGCAATGTTCTCGTTATGGCGTTAGTCGTTAGACACGGTTAGTCGTTAGACGACACGTCACGGCAATGTTCTCGTTATGGCGTTAGTCGTTAGACGACACGTCACGGCAATGTTCTCGTTATCGTATTAGTCATTAGTCGTTAGACGACACCGGCAATGTTCTCGTTATCGCGTTGACCTAAACACCAGCGTTCAACGACTCTCAAATCAAATCTTTCTTCTACTATACATTGTGATCAAATGCAAAAGAATAATGGCAAAAACAACTACTACAATAAACATTCACCTCTATGCTTAACATACGCATTACAATCATCGTTATTATTATTATTATTTTTACAATTGAATTCTAATATTAACATCTTAACGCTCCACGTGAACATGCCTGTAGCAGCAGCAGCCGGCGCTACAGTAACACTGCAGGGGATGCAGCATCACTTACCGGGTAGTCCGTGCTGCTGGTGCATGATGATGGAGGGCCGCGGCTGCGTGTGCCCCACACCAGGCCGCACGACTGGAAGGTGACCGTTTGACATCGGTCCGGCCAGCTGCTGGTAGAGACCGGGAAACTGTCCGGCTGCTGCTGCCGCCACGCCACCGCCTGCAGGACGAGACAGACGCGTGCGTGTGCGGGTGAACAAGGCATTCCATCGTACGCATGCACAATACTACAGTACGGTAACCAATTGATTTCCTCTAGGCATGAACAACCAGTTAGTGCTAACAGAGGGGAATGCCTCCGGTGGCAGCAACTGCAGCAGCAGCCAAAGCAGCAACAGAAGCAGCAGCAACAGCAGCAACAACAGAAGCAGCAACAGAAGCAACAGCAGCAGCAGCAGCAGCAGCACCACCACCACCACCACCAACAACAACAACAACAACAACAACAACAACAATTATAACAACAGGAACAGCAACAACAACTAGGCTGTCTTCGCTGCAAGAGCGAACACTGTAATTGGCAATACATGTACTACTAGCAGTCCTAGACTATTAATCTATAAGTAGTATATATATTCTGTAGCGAATTCTGGGTGCGAACGCGGATCCGGGCCACTGTTGTTTCTAGGTATGAATGTAACAGCTCTCTCTCTCTTCTCTCCCTCTCCCCCCTCTCTCGCTCTTCCCGCTCTTTTGTCCCCCAGCATATGTAACAGTGTCTGTGTGCGGGCAGCTAGCCCTACAGACAGACGACAGCCGCTACAGCCTGCGTAAATTTAGCTCTGTATATGGAGCAATATATTTGCATTTTAAGTAAGGTAAGTTTTTATACGGAACGTGTATGAGAGGCAGGGAGAGTATGGTGTACGGTTTGTCAATTTAGTCCAACCATATGTCGGTTTACAAACACACACCATATTTTCCACCAACCATACACATTGTAACGCCACCAACATGTTATTTATACAAGTGACGCAGAGCGACAGCGCTCACCTGACGGCAGGTGTTCTGATGCTAAACTCACTGGCAAACGAATCAAGAGCACCCTCCCATCGCCGCGTTCGCTCTCCCTCGTTGTCTCTCTCATTCTCTTTCGCTCTCTCGCTCTTGCTCTCTCTCTCTCTCTCTTTCGCTCGATCACTCTCTCTCTCTCTCTCTCTTGCAAAATTATGAAAAATTGCTCTAAAAAGCTGCTTGTCCGGCGGACAAGCTACCGGACAGATCTACTTGTCCTCCGTGGAAATGGACAAGTACGGACAAACGGATAGCCCTTATTTCGAACACTGGGATGGTATCAGGAACCTTATCGAAGAAATGTTCGTTGGGATCGTTATGAAAGTTGCCACGAGATGGCGCGTACGTTTGAATGTCTTAAGATTAAAGATGGAAGCTCCTATCGTACGTAGTATAGCAACAACTATTTGCAAGATAGAATAGGTAAGCACTCATCCATTTACCTACACAAGCCTACAGGCTAAATAGAGAGCTGCCACCTGTAACTAATTAACGCAGGCAAAAACTACACCATACTATCACCACCACATGCACTGGCAGTGGCCACTGGCAGTGGCATAATTAAGTTACATGTAACACACTGACAGTGACAGTACAGAATGCCATAGAAATTATACGATTTAATGAGCATAAACCTTCTTCAACCAAATTTAGCTTTTGAACTTTCACTGTGACATTGTAGGCTCATACATCCAGGCATGTATAGATTCTACTAGCAAACCCGGCAGTCAAATTCTTTCTAACAGTAAACAAATCCATGTTTAACCCTCCTCTTGAGGGTCAAAAGGTTATCCGACACTTACTCTTCGCATGTCAGCAGAAGGTACATTTCATGGTCCTTTCAATAAAGCCATAAAAATGCTAGGTCACCGCTGAAACAAAAAAGTTGTTCAATCGCTCCGTCAGAGACCATGTCCTCAGAAAATGTCTAAAATCCGCCCTGTGCCCCATTGACCTTTGACCTGTGCCCTCCAATTTCGGCACAGTGATGGCTTTTCCTACCATGACTATCACGAGCCTAGGTTGAGCCGTTTAGATTTGTGCCGCAATTCTGCATTTCCAAGTTAAGGAGGGAATGTTCCCCCTTCTTTTACACCTCTTGACCTTTGACCTTTGACCCCCAGCTTCGACATCTCTACTCGTTTTAACGATCCCCCCAACATCCCGAATATCGTAACCGTACGTCGAGCGGTTAAGATTTGTGCCCAACTGTTGACGCACGGACGACCATGCGATTCTACAAGCTGCATCTGACTATGTCAGATGAGCTAATAATAATAAACAGCAGCAGCAGCAGCAGCAGCCTCACCTGGGAGAACCTTGTGTGCAGTGAGGTCCATCGTGTAGTGGCCCTGTACGGGCGGCGGTGGTGGAGGCGGAGAGTCGTCCGGATCACCATTCACCTCGTCTGCAACGACACCCGTTAACGACAAAACGTAAGACGACATGAACAACAAACAGCCCGTCTGATGTGCTTCGACAAAACCAAAATAATACATAGCCGCTTAGAGATGCTAAAGCAGAACGATTTGACCTTACGCTTTTGGAAGTTCTGGAAAAGGTGCAACAACAGAATTGGACATAATAGAGTTTCTATTATGGGCAAAACAGCAATAAATCAAGTTAATTAAAGGATAGGTGTCAAGCTTTTCAGCTAAAGTAATTAAAATTAATTGTTCACATACAATAATCAAGTTGGTACCTAGAGAAATAAGTTGATTTTAGTCAAAACAGTATCAGTAAAGCACAAATCGCAGAAAAGTAAGTCCGCAAAGCAGCTCCCTGAAAATGCTTGGCTCGTGAGCGGTGACGTCACGAGAAGCGTTTCAATAAAATATAATGCTAACTAAATACGAAATCTATTTACTTAGTACAAAATTCTTAATGCTTCTATACTATAGGCCTACTCTCTTTCACCTATTATCGCCGATAGTTTCCTACCATTGCATTACCGGCAGCCATTGCTCTCGCGGCGCGACTGTTGCACGCTTGCACTAATATAGAGAGCAGGTAAGAAAGCGCGATTCCAAAATTCGCTTGATCGCTCGCTGCATTTCTAACGATTTCAACACAAATACTCATCCAACAGCTTCCATCTCTGTTTCTCCTTCAACAACAGTGTTCACTTGTTATAAACACATAACGTCTCTGTTCGTAACCGAGCTGTGTCACGCGAAATCACACAAAGACTGACGAAATTCTCGCGTTTTCTCCATTTGCGCACAGGATGTTACAAACTTAAGTATGGCTAAAGGCGGCGCCAAGTTTGTAGCATCCCGTGCGCAAATGGAGAAAACGCGAGAATTTCGTCAGTCTGTGTGATTTCGCGTGACACAGCTCGGTTACGAACAGAGACATTGTTTTTATAACAAGTGAACACTGTTGTTGAAGGAGAAACAGATGGAAGCTGTTGGATGAGTATTTGTGTTGAAATCGTTAGAAATGCAGCGAGCGATCAAGCGAATTTTGGAATCGCGCTTTCTTACCTGCTCTCTATATTAGTGCAAGCGTGCAACAGTCGCGCCGCGAGAGCAATGGCTGCCGGTAATGCAATGGTATGAAACTATCGGCGATAATAGGTGAAAGAGAGTAGGCCTATAGTATAGAAACATTAAGAATTTTGTACTAAGTAAATAGATTTCGTATTTAGTTAGCATTATATTTTATTGAAACGCTTCAAGTGCCTGTGGTCACGATGACGAGCATGACGTACATGTAGTTGCCTGATATCGCCGTGCTGTGTTGATATGAACTGAGGCTCGTAGGGTCTATGTCCCCCTGACCTCTGTTTGACCTGGCTCGACGGACTTGCGGCCCCGGTTTTTGCGCGCAGCGCACAGCTCGCGGCGAGGCCGCGCCCCAACGCGAATACGCCGCCCCCTTAGACAGGGGTCTGAAAATGCACTCCGCGAAAACTGGGCGCAATCCAACCAACATTTCGGGATGGACGGCTTGAGGCCATCTCCAAACGGCCCCTAAACTTTTTTTGGGGTGGCGCGCCTCATGGCTAAGACGTAGTGGCTCCTACAAGAAACTCCAAGAAATGCTGTCAATCAGCAATGACGCGCTTGCTCATTGGCCGCTACGCGATGACGTGCGCTTCTGCCGAGTATAGCGTTACGTCTATCACAGAGGTTTTAACGAAGACGTGTACGGCGCTCCACGTGGGCTGGCGCGGTCTAGATGCTATCTCCAAAAGCGCCTGGCTCCGTACGTGCGAGGTTTTTATCAACCTCTTGACCCCGCGCTGCCCGTGGCGACGGCATGTCGTGCGAGCACGTGCTGGCGTGGCCGTGGCAGTTTTTACACGTAGCTAATCCTACAATACGCCGCCACACTGACACACAAATATATATATGCACATGTTTTTACGAAGACGGCGGAGCACGATATTCCAGCCTCCCTCCTCCCCCGCGCTCACGTGGCGACCGGGCACGGTCGAAATGCTATATCCCACAAACGCTGGCTCGGGGAGTTTTTGCGCCGCGGTGACTTTCGTAGTAAATAGATTTTGTATTTATTTAGCATTACATTTTATTGAAACGCTGCAAGTTCATGCTTGTGTGCCTGGCTGCGCAGCACTGCATGCAGTATTATAGATACCTTATTAACCGCTGCGCGCGAGTCGCAGCCGAGAGAGAGAGAGACGAGAGAGAGGAGAGAGAGACTGACCATGGGAGTGCGAGAAGAGAGAAAGAGAGTAAGATAAGGTACGAAAATACAGCAGTGACGTACGACGCGAGAATGTACAAACGTGTGTCAATCTATAGATCCGAAAGCCCCCCCAAAGCAATGTACCGAGCCGATGTACGTGTCCCGAAAACTGCGCGATGCTTAGGCTGCCCGCTATACCATTCGCGCGCCGCCTTCCTTCGGTTGCGGCGGAATTTTTCTTTCGTATACGGGGAGCCGACGATGCTACAGTAACATACACCCCGCATCCGTGCGCCAGTCCCCCGAAGCGCGACTTAACGCTTTCGCCGTCGGAGACAACGCTCTTGTTTTTTTTTTTTTTTTTTTTTTTTTTTTTTTTTTGTTTTGTTTCTTTTTGTTCACCGTCTTCTCTGTTGTATCCATTTTGACTAACACCTAACCCTAACCCTAGTATATATATATATATTATATATAATATAAATAGTCAGAAATAGCTAATCGACCAGGTCAAACAGATGTCACGGGGACATAGACCTTTATCTGCTGCAACTGAGATCAATGGTATCTGCTCTCGTTGTATAAAGATTTTGCATCGTGTAAATACAGGCGTTGGCCAACACGTATTCGATATCAGTCATAGATGTTTGTATGCACTTGAACTTATGTTACTTTGCCGAGATATTCAGGGTGGTGTATACCTCGTTGACAATCCTATAGTTTATTGCCACAGTATCGACAGTGTGCGATTCCTACACCGCGGTTATCACGCTATGTCATCAGGGTGCTCGCTCGCGTTGTAACAGTGTGCCAAGCATATGGAGAAGAGGGAGGAAGGAGGGAGAAAAGAGAGAGAGAGAGAGGAGAGAAGGCGAAGGGAGACGAGAGAGGAGCGAGGGAGGGAGAAGAGAAGAAGGAGAGAGAGAGAGAGAGAGAAGAGAGAGGCGACGCGGAGGAGGGAAGAGAGAGGGAGAGAGAGAGAGAAGAGAAGAGAGAAGAGAAGGAGAGGAGCAGAGGAGAGAGGAGAGAGAGAGGAGAAGAGAGAGAGAGAGAGAGAGAGAGAGAGAGAGAGAGAGAGAGAGAGAGAGAGAGAGAGAGAGAGAGACCTGGGTTTATACCACGAAATAACACTTAGTACTGCTGAGAGGGTCTATGTCCCACAGGGTACTGCCGGAACGTACCCTGGTACTATCTAATATGCCGGACAGTACCTCGCCTACTCTACTAACGAGTCTAGGGAGTCACCTACACCTACTACCTAACCCTAACCATATCAGATAGTTACCAGGGTACGTCCCGGTATATCGGACCGTACCCAGGGTACGTTCCGGCAGTACCCTGGGGGACATAGACCCTATTAGCCTTAGGCTGGGCCGAGCTACAAAGCTATCAGGAGTATATCAATATTGATAGACTCCTGAAGCTATCCTTGTATAGGATGGTCAGGGGTTGATGCAATGCACGTTACATTTGGTGAACCTAAAAATAGATGTGACTGTGGTGGCACATTGCAATTTGTTGGTACATGTGAATGTTACTGACTCAATGAAACAGTGTGTAACGAGTGTACAGTCCCAGATACCTTCCTCATAGTTACTTGTGATTAGTTCAATTTATTGGTACTATATATGGTGATACTACATAGGATATGAAGACAGCAACAGTAAAGACGTCAACAAAGATTGCCCATTGAACACGCACATGGAAGAGTGTCTTAACCGAAATAAATCATAGGAATTATGAAGTTCAACGCTGAACATTCAGCAGCTCATACATGCAGTCAATAACCTGATATTACACTGCACTGGTGTCCTCGTTTTCTGCAGTATTACTGCTTTCAGATTCATATAAATCACTATTTTCCTCTCCTTTGCAAGCAGTTCAAATTGATACGGCTCAATATTTTCATGAGAACTGTGGACTACCTCGTCAAAATCGTACTCGGTTCCCCATCCCAAACACACACTTTACAATGGACAGCCTAGATGCAGCGGCCGCACATGGCTGATTCTACGTCATGCCAGAGTAATTGTGTGACGTCAGCGCTCAGACATTTCTTATCCCAGTGCGGCGATTTCGAATGTATAAACCGGTGTAGCAACATTACTGAGTGCTTATTTTGACAGATTTTTTGACATACTTGAAGGATATATATATATATCTATGATATATTTAAGTGTGAGTGGGATATTTTGAGGTTTAAAAGCTCGACACTAATCCTTTAAGTCTCGATGCTAATCGAACCGAAAAATAGATTCTACACAAACGCAGCAACGTAAGAGGCGGGAAAAACGATCCCGCCCACTAATCTTTAATCTCGTGAGAGCGGTGGGGGGGGGGCTTGGACAGAGAGTGCGAAAACGTTCCCCCTGTCTCCGCCGGCGCGCCCCCGGTGGTCAGCACACGCACTCACCCTTCTCGGCATCGTCATCGTCGTCTGAGAGGCCAAACTCCTTGCGGAGTCGCGCGGTGAGGCTCTCGCGCTCCTTCTCGCGCTGTGTCTTGTTGCACTCCTCCTTCAGGTCCTGGAACGCAGGCAGACTCTGCAGGCTCTGCAGACGCTCCTCGAGGCTGAGTCCAGCGAACATGGCGTCGCGAGACGTCTCCACCTTACCTGCAAGGTGAGGCGAGAGGACGGGAGGAGAGGGAGGAGAGCGAGTTAGTTAAATGTAGCGTGAGAGAGAACGCGTGATGAATGAACGAGGACACACGCACACGCACGCACGCACGCACGCACGCACGCACGCATGCACAATTCTACTACTCTGTAACGACACCGACTTTACTAATAGAGCCTGTAAGGCATGAACGGAACACCATGACAAAGAGACACGTTAATCGCCCGTGTTCGCGCAGCAACGATGAGCACCTGCTCAGTAACGCGAGTCAGCGTGACACCACCAGAGGGCGCCGCACTCACCGGCCTTCAGCGCGAGATTCTCGCGGAACGCCTCTGTTGCGGAGAGACGCTCGAGCAGCGGGGGCGCCGACGACGGCTCATCATGGTTCGCGCCAGTGACGAACAGCGTCGCCGTGGCAACGGGCAGCTTCGTCGGTGTGCTACCCGTGCTCTCACTGCCGCCGACGCTCTTAAAGCGCTGGCGGTACTCCAGCAGCGACATCTGGTGATGAGAATAGACATCGATATTGGATTAAAACCATTAAGACGAGGGAATGCAAAACTCCTTTATCTATGTCATGTATGGTTAAAAATTGCAAAATAAAAATATATAACAACAACAACAACAACAACAACAACAACAACAACAACAACAACAACAACAACAACAACAACAGCATTAATGTTAAAATAAATAATAAAATAATAAACAAAATAAAGCGTATTTCTAGGTAGTTCTAGTCAGTAATTGTCATCAAGAAGACATGCGAAAAGATTCACTCTCTCACCTTCTTCTTCGGCTTTGGCTTCTCCTGCGGCAGCGACGGTGGCGCCCCAGCGTCCGTCGCCGCAACAACGGCTTCAACCGCGCTCATGTTGCTGTCTCCGTTGTCAAAGTCGTCGCGGCTCTCCTCGTCGCGCGCGTTCAGCAGTGCTCCCTGGTGGCCGTCGGCGCCTGTCGGCTCGGTGATGCCCGAGGCCTCGTCTGCGGCCCACTGGTGGTGGAGGCGGCTCGCGGGCAGTATCTCGTCCTCCAGCTCTGAGCTGCTGATCTCTCCCTCGCTGCGGTACTTCCCCTCCTCCGTCTCAGCGACAGCGCCACCTGCGGGCGGTTCTGTTTTCGTCTGCACGACGAACGCACTCAAGTTTTCCGTGGCGACTGCGGCGCCCCCTGGCAGCCGGGGTTTGTCAGGTTCTGTTTTCCATCGTTGTGAGTCCCGCCCCTCCTCCCCCGCCACGTCCCGCTGCTCCCCCTCCTCCTCCCCCGGTTCCTGCTTTGTGTCCACCAGAGGTGTGCACTCCTCCTTTTCCTCCTTCACTGCTACCTGCTCCTCCTGCTCCAATGCCGCAGCATCCTCTTCTTCCTCCTCCTCCTGTGCACCATTGTTTTTCGTGCGTGCCGGCCTCGCGGCAACGGCAGCACTCTCGTGGTCGATGCCCCTCATTGTCGACGACGTCGCCTCGTTCTCCGTATCCGTGGTAACGCCCTCGTCGGCTGTGTCGTCTGCCGTCTCGTTCCCGTTGGCGACGAGGAGCGACTCGGACCTCTCGCTGTCCTGCGACGAGACGCGGCGTGTGTCGCTGCATGGCTGCAGCGAAGCACCAGCAACGTTAGCACATACATCCACGTGGTGTATGCAGACAAACACACACAACGCGACCTACGGCTCCTAGCAAGGCTGCATGAAGAGTGACACAAACATGAGTGACCGACTAGTGATACTCTATAGCGACAACGGGTTCCCAAGACAACAACAGCACATTCACCACTACACCGCTGTAGACATGTGTCTCATGACAACTAGCCACTCTCCACTCTCGTGTTTACCCTCGACGCTCGCGTGGCGACAGTGCCCCCTACCTTCGCGAACAGCGATCCGTCGAACATCGTTGAGAACTGGTCGTAGCGGTCGCCCGGGGTGATGGGCGTGATGGGAAGCCGCGTCGCCGTCGCTGCGGCGGTGGCGCCCCCGCGCGGCGACGGGCCTCCTCCGCCGCCGGCATCGTCGTAGTCGGGGGTGCTGGTGTAGCCCTCGGGCTGGTGGCCGGGCGACGGCGTTGAGACGGGAGATCCTCGCAGCGTGTCAGTCGACTCTCGCGCGAGACGTCGCTTCTTCAGCGGTGTCACGAGGTCGACTGCAAGGACACGCGAGACAAGTTAGCGTGGTGGTGCGAGACAGGTGAGACAAGTTAGCGTGGCGACGTGAGACACGTTAGCGTGGTGGCGCGAGATGGGTGAGACACGTTAGCGTGGCGACGCGAGACAGGCGAGACACGTTAGCGTGGAGACGTTAGACAGGTGAGACACGTTAGCGTGGCGACGCGAGACAGGTGAGACACGTTAGCGTGGCGACGCGAGACAGGTGAGACACGTTAGCGTGGCGACGCGAGACAGGTGAGACACGTTAGCATGGTGGTGCGAGACAGGTGAGACACGTTAGCATGGTGGCGCGAGACGGGTGAGACACGTTAGCATGGTGGCCTGACGCCGGAGACGGGTGAGACACGATTAGCTGGCGACGCCGCAGACAGGCAGACACGTTTAGCGTGCGGACGCGAGGACACTACACGACACTTTAGCATTGGTGGTGCGAGACAGTGAGACCTGTTAGCGTGGCCGACACGAGTAACAGGAGACACGTTCACGTGCGACGCAAGACGCGGAGACACGTTAGCCCCCCCCCCATGCGACCAACGGTGAGACACTGTTAGGTTGGCGACGCAAGACGGGCTGCAGACACGTTAGCATGTGGTTGCGAGACAGGGAGACACGGTAGCGTGTGGTGCGCATCACAGCTTGAGACACAGTTTAGCGTGGTGGTGTGAGAAGGTATACACAACGCTTACGTGGTGGTGCCGAGACAGGTGAACACGTTAGCGTGTGTGCAGACAGGCTGAGACCGGTTAGCGTGGTGGTCGAGACACGTGAGGCCGTTAGAGTGTGAGGTCAGACGAGTGAGACCCGTGAGCGTGGCCGCACGTGAGACATCGTTAGCGTGGGCGCGATTATGGCGTGAGACACATTAGCGTGGCGACGCGAGACGCTGCGAGACACTCTACGTGAGACGTTAACAGTGAGACACGTTAGCCGTGGCCCGACGTGAGACAGGCTCAGCCACGTTAAGCATCTTGGTGCGAGATGGGTGAGCACACGTTAGCATGGTTGCGCGCAGACGGCTGAGACACTCGGTAGGTGGCGACCGAACGGTGCAGTACACCTTAGCATGCGTGCGCTGCTAGACAGGTGCGAGACACGTTAGCGTGCCGTGTGCCCGAGGACAGGTGAGACTACGTTAGCGGTGCCGACGCGAGACAGTGAACACGTAGCTGCCGACTGAGACAGGTGAGACACGATTAGTCGTGGTCACGCGAGACATGCAACACGTGAGCATGTTGTTCGAGACAGGTGATGACACGTTACCTTGTGGTTGCGCAGACATGTCGAACACATTAGCGTTGTTTTGATGTGAGAAGGTGAGACACGTTAGCGCTGGTGGTGCGAGACAGGTGAGATCACACGTTAGCGTGCGTGGTCGAAACAGCGTGAGACACTTAGCTGAGTGGTGCGAAAAGGAGACCCGTTAGCGTGGTGGCCGAAGACAGATGAGACCCACCGTTAGCCGTGCGTGCGTGTGAGACAGTGAGGACCCGTTAGCGTGGTGGTGCCGAGACAGTGTGAGACACGTATAGCCGTTGGTGGTCCGAGACAGGCTGAGACACTGTTATGCGTGGTGGTGCGAACAGGTGAGACACTTACGGTGGTGTGTCAGACAGGTGCACGAAACACGTTAGCGTCGTGTGCGAGGGACAGGTGAGACCAGTTACCCGTGTGCGTGCGATGACAGTGGAGACCCTTAGCGTGTGGTGTCGAGACAGGTGAGACCACGTTAGCGTGGTGTGTGAGACAGAGACCCGTTAGCGTGTGGTTGCGAGGACAGGTGAGACCACGTTAGCGTGTGGTGCGAGACAGTGAACACGTTAGCGTTTGTGGTGTCAGACAGGTGAAAAACACGTTAGCGTGGTGTGTGCCGGCCCCCCCCCCCCAGACAGGTGAGACAGTTAGCGTGGTGGTGCGAGACAGGTGAGACACGTTAGCGTGGTGGTGTCAGACAGGTGAGAAACACGTTAGCGTGGTGGTGCGAGACAGGTGAGACACGTTAGCGTGGTGGTGCGAGACAGGTGAGACACGTTAGCGTGGTGGTGCGAGACAGGTGAGACACGTTAGCGTGCGAGACAGGTGAGACACGTTAGCGTGACTGGTGCGATACACGGTGAGACCCGTTAGCATGGCCTGATGGCCTACTCTGTTATGCCACGTTACAGAAAAA